ATTGACTAATTGACTAAAAATATAAAAGAATAATTTGCTGAAAATTAATTTGATATTACTAATCAACTTAAAATATAAAAGGATCGCTAATTGACTAATACTCTACCATTATATATTTTCACCCGAGTCACCTATCGTGATGGACTGAAGGTGTTAGCTCTATACGATGATGGACAAGATTGCGTTGCTACAACCATTGTAATCTACAAACATGTTTCAATAATGTGTAAATACAATCGTTGATATTATGTTTTTTTTTTAAATGACAAAATTGTTATATATCTAGACAATATATATATATATATATATATATATATATATATATATATATATATATATATATATATATATATATATATTTCATACAAATGAATTAAGATCGCAATTCATTTCTATAACTGAGTTGCTAGAGAACGAACATATTTGCTTAATTTATAAAAAAAAATTACTAAACAATGATAAATAAAATCTCCAAAGTTACAGCATCGCATACGTACATCTACACATTAACTATTAATTTGAGCAATTATTTGCTCAAATTCAAACAATGATAACATCAAAACACATAAATAATCCAAAATATATCTTCAATTGCACTGTATAATATTTGATGTTCTAATTTAAATAATTATATATCAATCTAAATATTTTTAATATATTATAAAAAATTCATCCCGTGCATCGCACGGGCGAAAATACTAGTTGACTAAAATAGGAAAAAAAATGGTCATCATTTCATTTTAATTTTTCACAATAATATTACACAGTATAATACATCAAATCACAAGTATGTCATAAATTTTACACAATTTTAAACAATAGAATGGAAATATTTCAATAATAATATTCTACACTATCAAGTAAAGGTAAATTAAAAATGAAAAAGGAAATACTTCAATAATAATATTCTACATCATTAATACTAAAGACATATTTTAAACAATAGTAAAGGTAAATTAAAAATGTAGCGAAAATTAAAAATGAAATGGAAATATTTCAATAATAATATTCTAAATCATCAATTAAAAATGAAACGAAAATTTGGTAAAAATATCATTGCATTTGATATTTTAGTTCGCTAATTGATTAATTGACTAAAAATAAAAGAGAAGTAATTGGATGAAAATAAATATGATATTACTAATGGATTGAAAATTTAAAAGGAAATGAATATTAATAATTGACTGCAAATAAAAAATTATTCATAATTGACTAATATGAAAAAAATAAATGGTTAGACCATTGCATTTTAATTAAAATGGAAGGGAAACTAAAATTGAACGCCAATATTTCAATAATAATATTCTACATCATAAATAGTAAATGCATATTGTAAACAATAGTAAAGGTAAATTACAAATGGAACAGAAATATTTCAATAATAATATTATACATCCTCAATTAAAAATGGAACACAAATTAGGTAAAAATATCACTCCATGTAATATTCTAATTGACTAAAAATACAAAAGAATAATTGACTGAAAATGAATATAATATTACTACTTTATTTAAAATATAAAAGGATCGCTAATTGACTAATATTATACCATTATATATTTTCACCGAGTCACCCATCCTGATCAATTGAAGGTGTTAGCTCTAGACGATGATGGACAAGATTGTGTTGCTACTACTAATATCGTCTACAAAGAGGTTTCAACAATGTGTAAATAAAATCGTTGATATTATATTTTTTAAATGACAAAATTGCTATATGTATAGACAAAAAAAATATCCTCCATACAAATGAATTAAGATAACAATTCATTCATATAACTGAGTTGCTAGAAAACGAACACATTTGTATAATTTATAAAAAAAAAAAAATACTAAACAATGATAAAAAAAAAATCTCCAAAGTTATAACACTACATGCATACATCTACACATTAGCTATTAATTTGAGCAATTATTTGCTTAAATTCATACAATGATAATATAAAAACACATAAATGATCCAACCCGTATATTCAATTGAACTATATAATATTTGATGTTCTAATTTAAATAATTATATATCGATCCAAATATTCTTAATATATTACAACAAATCTATTCCGTGCATCGCACAGGCACAAATACTAGTGAATAAAAAAGAAAAAAAAAATAAAGAAGAAAGACTGCTGAATTTTTATCCCATTATTATGGCAAATACAACATGGAAAATGTTATTTCCACAAAAAATTTTGTACACAAGTTAAAACATGTTAACGTTATTGCACAGTTGATATTTACTGACTTCTTGTGAATTGATGTATTCTACCAAAATTGGGTACAAAAAGTGTGCATTTAGCATTGCTAACTACTGATCAATTTTTATTTGAACAAAATAAAATGATCAATTTTTATGTTAAATAGGTTTAATTACAACAAATTATAACATTTTCTAAATAATAGAGAGACTAAATAACAAACATATAATGAAACTAAAATTAGGAATAACAATTTACATTTGCTTAAAGAGAAGATGATAGAAAAAAAAAAAAGAAAAAAAAAGCTGATTTTCTACCATAAAGAGGGGATGTCAAGACAGCTGGCACAATAGCAATGGAAAAAAGAGAGATGTGGACAAATGACGCAATATAATAAGATGGCAAGACAAATTGTCTGCAAAATCTTCTAACTTGCAGGGTGTTGGCTAAAATTTGGTCTTTCCATTTGTTGAAAAGTAACCCATGTGAATTTTACTGTTCCAAAATTAGGGAATGCATCCCCTATTGGGGATGCCCTAAGAACTTGATGAAAAAATTATTTATGCCGTAGTGGTTAACATTTTAGACTTGGTAAATGACTATACACACATAATATGAAACCCCACAAATCAATGATGGGTAACTTCCTAAACTCACACTCAACCCTTTAAGAAAAGGGTGAAAATACTTAGTTGAATCTCACAAGAAAACATATCATAAGGCTTGAGAAAAAAATAAATAAATAAGGAAGTTCTATATTTTTTTAAAGGGAAAATTGCATCATTGGTCCCTGAATTATACTCAAGTTTTGACTCAGTCTTTTAGTTATGATCGTATTTAATTTTTACTCCTCAATTATGAGCGAAGTGATATGTTTGGTCCTCGACGTTAGGTTTCCATCTCAACCTGATGAAAACCCCAAAAACTCTTTAAAATTGGAGTAGTAAAATAGAAAATTCACATCTTATTCTCCTTTTTTATATTAAAATCACCTCCGCATCATTACTTTTCAATTTCCAGTCTCATATTTCAAGGTTCTTCAACTCTAAAAGCATTTCAATAACCATCGTATGACTTGTTAGGAACCTGAGACTCATTACAAACAAGAGAACACTTATCACCATCTTCTGGCGTGTGAAACATAGTATCCTAAACGTTTTTGATTTTCCTAAGTAACAAAGGTAATCAAACTAGAATTTCTGATATATAATAATATGTCAAATTTCTCAAGTTGCTTTTATGAGAAATTCACCATTGGAATAACTTTGAGATTTTTTAGTATGTAATAATTCTTTCGTACACTCTGTTATTTGGTTAAAGCTTAATATTAGTAATTAACACACTTGCTATTTGGTTAAAACTTAAGGCAAAAACTTGTGTAAGATCATCTCACGATCACAGATCTCAATTTGTGAGAAGAGCCGAATCTTTAACTAATAATAATAAAGATCCGTCTCATTAAATATCCGACCCGTCTCACACAAATGTTCCTCCTTTAGGGTGTGTTTGGAAACCTGGAAAATGAGTTCTGGAAATCATTTTCCAAGTTTTCAGTGTTTGGATGTGCCTGGAAAATCAAGTCAACGGAAATCATTTTCCGTTGACTTTGGAAAATAGGCTTGTTTTGGAGGAAAATGACTTCCCCTTTTTTTTGGGGGAAGTCATTTTCCAACTTTTACACCAACATCACACCACCACCAACATCATCAACACCATACCACTACCACCATCACCACCACTACTGCCGCCGCCACCACCACTATACCACCGCAACCACCGCCACCACACCACCACCACTACCACCACCAACACCATACCACCGCAACCACTACCACCACCAACACCATACCACCGCTGTCGCCACCACCACCATACCACCGCTGCCGCCACCACCACCATACCACCGCAACCACCACCACCACCATACCACCGCAACCACTGTCGCCGCCACCACCACCACTACCACCACCGTCGCCGCCGCCACCATACCACCGCAACCATCGTCACCGCCACCACCACCACCATACCGCCGCCGCCACCACCACCACCATACCACCGTAACCACCGTCGCCGCCACCACCATCACCATACCACCGTTGCCGCCACCACCACCATACCACCGCAACCACCACCACCATCACACCACCGCCGCCACCACCACGACCATACCACCGCCACCACCACCACCACCACCACCATACCACCGCAACCACCGTCGCCGCCACCACCACCACCACCATACCATTACAACCATCGCCACCACACTACCACCACTGCCACCACTGTCATACCACTACCAGTTATTATTATTATTATTATTATTATTATTATTATTATTATTATTATTATTATTATTATTATATAACAAATAACACCACTACCACTACACCACCACCACCACCATAATATTTTTGATATATTATTAGTTATTATTTTATTATATTTAAAATTATTATTATATTATTATATATTATTATACATGTTGTAATATTCTAAATAAAATAATTAAAATGTTTAATTATACAATTCTACTCATTTTCCAGAAAATGAACCAAACACACAAAAACAGTTTTCCAGAATGTAACCAAACACTGGAAATGAAAATGTTTTCCGGAAAATGACTCATTTTCCAGAAGTCATTTTCCAGCTTTCCAAACGGACCCTTAATATGGAGTAGTTAATAAGCTCTTCAAATCCCGCCAATGCGTGAAACCCTTTTCCCAATTGTCAAAAGTCCAAACCGCCTCTTAGCAGTTTAAAAAACTCCCCCTTGAATTCTTAGGCGTTTATCGGCAGCCTCACAGCCCTGCCGCTCTGATACTGATTTTACGACAAGATCAATCGATTTTGTTGATGGAGGAAAGGGAGCAGACTGATCTCGAAGCCAAACGTCTCAGCATCTTCACTTTTTCACCGGAGGATGATAATTTCATCGTCAATTTGTCTTCTTCACCGCTTCAGTCCATTGGTCTTCAACAATCAGGTTCTTCATATCAATGCGCTTTTTGTCTGATCTTAATTTGATTTCGATAGACTTCAGTTCTGACTAGGAAAGAAGTAAAGCCAAATATAGAAAAATAAAATACTACTTCATTTTAGAATGCTGCTTGAAATTCTGAAAGGTTTTACGTATAAAATTCTGTATGATCTGTTGTTCATGAATACAGAGTATAGAATTTACAACTTCATCGAGAATTCCAAACGATTTATGCTTCTGACATGATGGGTGACCGATGAACGAAAGGGTATCCCAAGATAATGACTTAATTTTTGGGGTCACGAGGAAATCCGCAGCCAAGGTGTGCACTCAAATCAAGAAGGCTGGGATTCGAACTCGTGACCATGTGGTTACAAGTTTATATTCTTTGCCAGCTTGGCTGGCTTAATTGATGTGAGAGATTGTTGTATAAATGTATTTTCTTTTATATACATTTTTAGTATTTTCTTTTATATACATTTTTAGTTAAGTAAAAGATACGACCTTGAACTTGACTGAAAGAATGATTGTTTGATCTGAAATTTGTTGGAATCTGTATGCATTTTCTTCTTAAACTGGCTGCAATCTTTTAGTTTTCTTTTTCATCCCTTTTTCTGTTGGCAGTAGACCCTTATTCTTTTGCATATAGCACTATAATTTCGTGTCTCTGGAGATAATGTTACTTCTTTTTGTTCTTCAGAGTATCAGAAAGAGTCTATAAGCTTGGAGTTATTTGAAACTATGGATGGTCAGGAAGGAAAGGATATTTGCCATAGAAATGAAGAAGATGACAACTTTCCTGAACTTTGTGAGTCAATGCAACCTGAAAGAACCAAATGGAAAAGGAACCCAAAGTCTCGCAATAGTTTAGCGTGGAATAGTGCTTTCTTCACAGATGCGGGTATACATCTTTTCTTTTTTCTGGGGCTTTGGAATCATCTTTGTCTTGCCTTAGTAGGACAATGCTTGTTGGGAGCCTGATAACGACTGTAGTTTCACAGAGCCATCGTTTTTGAAACATTTGCAGGAGTACTAGATCCTGAGGAGTTGTCCAGCATGATCAAAGGGACTGAAAAGTGTGAAGTCCTAGATCCTGAGGAGTTGTCCAGCATGATCACAGGAACTGAGAAGGGTGAAGTACTAGATCTTGACGAGTTCTCCAGCATGATCAAAGAAACTGAACAGGGTGAAAAGCATCTCCTCTCTGGGAATAATGAGGATGTAGAACAGTCTATTGATTCAATCTCAACATTTGAAAGTGATGATCTGATACTTGAACAACTTGAGGCTGAGGTTTTTGAGGACATTAGAGCTTCGATTGTAAGATCCAGCAAAGTTTTAAATGTGATGATTTCAAGCTGCAAATCAGCATCTCCAAAGGCAGTGGATGAGGCTACTTCTGGTAATTCATATTTATTCCTTGTGGTAATCTTCTAATTTGGACATATTGGTTGCCAAATAGTTGTTTGAATTACTGCTCTTTTTTTTTTTTTTTTTTTCACAGCTTTGAAGAAGGCAGACTGTACTTCTAAAAATGTGGTAAGTCCAAATTAACAGCTTCCACATCCTGAATTCAATTTTCCATAGTTTGTAAATGACACTGTATACTGAACAACAGCTGGTGCCTAAAGTTGCTCCCAAGAGAACTATTAAAGCACAAACCTATGGGATGCCAAAAAGTCAGCAGAAACAAACTGGTGGAGTGCAAAGCTCCGGTAAAATGGTAACCAAGGAAAACTCACAAGTCACGCAGGCATGCATTTTTATATTTATTTTTGTTATGAAATTTTCTCTATCAAGAAATTCCATAATCCCATTGTTTATAGAGATACTTACTGATATGCATATTCTTAAGATACATGAAATGCCTTTTTACAGTAATAGAAAGAAGACCTGCAGAGTTGTTATTTCTACATCTTTTAACTTTTTAATGGTTTATAGCAGCAAAAGAATTTTCTTTACGATATTAGTTGACACTTCTTTTTTCTGACTGTTTTAATGAAGGCCATGACTAGGACCTTGGACTCAAAATCATTTCTTGCTAGGCCACGAAAACTGAGCAGTAAGGTGAATTCTGTCTCTGCAGCAATAGCAAAAGGGACCTCTATGGGTGCCAATCATGTTAAAAGTGATCATGTCAATGCAAAAATCAGTACGGTAACAGTTGCTGGTAAAGAGGCACGGGTATCAAAATTTTCCGCTGCAAACAATGCTCACAAGGTGGCTGTAGCCTCAAGATCTTCAAGTGATAGTACTGCCAGTACTTCGTCTGACAAAACAGGAAAATCTACTTTCCCTGCAACAAGAAGAAAGGTGGAGAGTAGGCCTGTTGATCAATCTTCCTCTGGCTCAAGTATCAAAACTACATCAAAAATTGCTTTGAAGAATGAGATATCCTCTAGAAACTCTGCTGTTGGAGCATATGTTATGTCTTCAAAGATGAGTCCTGGCTTTTCACCTGCTAGTTCTATTAGTGAGTGGTCTTCAACATCATCATCTTCTAGTTCCATTAACAAGAGGTCAAATGCATCTAGGACTAGCCTTGATACTAGTAGATCCATGGACAGTGATAACCCGTCCTTGGATTTGACAAATTCTTCAAGTCATTATCAGACGTCAGATAAATCAGTTCCCAAAACAACATTGTTTAATGAGAATATACGTAAACCTTCAAGACTGAATGGCACACTTTCTCAACCATCTTATATGAAGCCATCAGGCTTGCGGATGCCATCCCCAAAGATTGGTTTCTTCGACAGGGTCAGTTTCCATCTCAATGGTCTTTGCTTTTGTTTTTTTAGCTATTTCAGTTTGAAATTGGTCATCCATGAAAAGTTTATATGATAATTGATGGTCTAATTTATTATCCCATAGAATTTTCTTTAAGTCTTAACAAAAGGAATTTTCTCAACAATGTATACGCAATTGTTGTAAGTGACTGAAGTTTTAAGAATAACTGTCATTTGTCAAGTTGATATTAATAGACATTCTCTATCTATTGGTTTTGTTTTATCCAGGTTAAGCCAGGTTGCACTCCAAATCGGTCTATGCAGTCTCATTCCAATGGAAGTGCTGCATTAACGGCGAAAATTGGAGCTAATGTGAGGACAAATATAAAACCCAAGATCGCAAAGCTTCCACCTGCAAAAACATTAAAAAGAGCAGAGGGTGATACTGAGACGGTCCCTTCTCACGCATCTCTTAAAGACAAATTACCTGCCCCAGTGAATATGAGTGGTAGTCCAGGAGATATAGAATACTATTCTAGCCCATCCCAAGAAGTTCATCATGAAAGGAGTGGAGGTTGTAATTTACATCCCAAGGATGTTGCAGTTGAAGGACATGAAATAACTAAACATGTTGAAGATGCTGGTTTAATTCCAGTTGATCATGGGGACCAAGGTTTAATGAAGAGTGAAATGAGCAGAGACATATATTTGAAGCCCGACTTGAATGATACGAAGATCATTGCCGTTGAAGGCGAGCGTTGTGATTCAGTCTCCAAGAACACTGAAACAGTGAGATCAGAGGTTGCACCTAGCACACCTTTTGGTGGCAAGACTTGTGGAAGTAGTGAGTTTCTTGATTTTTGTATAGAAGCCGCAAACGAGGCACTCTTGGAAGTTGATCACCAATGAAAGCAAGAAACCCATAAATCACTTTGTCCATTTCTTTTCAGGGTAAGAGCTAAGGCCTTTTGCAGGATGTACAATCTTCAAAGACAGTACAGCTCCATAGCAAAGGCTTCTTTTATTGGTGAAGAAATATGTGACCATCAGAAGTTAAAGGATAGATAAGCTCTTTTGTAGAGGCAAGATGATGAAGGGTTTTTGACAATATTTATGTGGTTGAATAAACGTTTTTGGAAATGGAACATGTATTACCCCAATAAGCAGTTCCATGTTTATCACTTCGCACAAGGTTTCGATAACTCGAATATCAAGCTAGGAGAGATTTTGTGAATGTTTAAAACGTTTGGAGAATTATAAGGTGAACACATTCCGGATTTGTTTGAAAACCTAAAAAATATTCTTTTGGAAAATAATTTTCAGAAAATGTTTGTTTTTTGAAATATAATTTAATTTTTTAATGTTTGACTGAATGTTATAATTTTTTTTGGGTGAAAGTTAAGAAATTACATTTTTTTCTATTTGGTTTATTTTCTTAAAAATGAACATATTATTTGTTATAAAATAATATATTTTTAGATCAGTGAATAAGTTAGCCACTCGTTCTCAGTCTGGTCCTCTTTGTTGGTTGTTTTTTATTCCATTTTATATTGAACATTTAATTTAATGATTTTCAGTGGTTTTCTTTTCAAAAAAAAAAAAAAAAAAAAAAAAAAAAAAAAAAAACTAGTGTAACTATAATACCATAAATCCCCCCGTAATATGTATAAGTGTAGTGGATATATACACTTTGTATTTTTGCTTAGTTGCATTTTGTAGTGTTAATAGTTGCACTTTAAAGTTAAAGTTATTTACAAAAATGTCATTGTTTTTTCACAATTCATTTGTAGTTTTGCTTAATTTCACTCTATAGCGTTGAAAGTTGCAACTCATAGTGTTACTAGTTGCAGTTTATTATGAGAGTTATTTTTAAAAAATGACACTGCATTTTTTTCTCTAATTGCTTAATATTCGTTAGATCTTTCTAAATGGATAATTCTGATTGATTTCTAGTTCTCTTGGAGTGGTTCTCACATGGATGTGCCCACATATATATAGGTGAGAGGCATATACAATACCAATTGGGTGTTTTAGAATGGTCACCAACTACCAACTACCAACTATTAAGCCATCTCCAAGGGTGCGGTAAAGCACCAAAATGGAGGAAAATATAGCACAGTGCAGCTCCAATCAACACAGCATAAAACTATATTTTTGCAGCACCATGAACGTTGCAACGCCATATTTGACGATGCACTGTTCATCCGCACCATATTGGGTGTGCTTTTTTCCCCCATTTTACCCCATCTTTTATTTGTAATTCTTTTTATGTACTTGGTTTAGTTTTAATATATTTGTATATTTTGTTAAATTGTTAAATATAAATTTTATATTATTAAAAATAATTTATATAATTAGACGATTAAAACAAGACTGATATTGAACATATATTAATTAAAAATGAAACTAAATAAAGCATAATTGTGCCAAACAATTAATCTGTTAAAGAGGCTGAAGCTATTAGTTTGAGAGAGGCCTTAAAAGCTGACTCAAGGATACTGGTATGTGTAATGTAGAAGCGGAAATGGAGTCCCAAACTGTTTTTTCATGTGATTTTTTCATTTTTTAATTCTACTTTTGGTTTTTTAGTGGATGATATTAAAAAATTGGCATCAACGATTGGATATGTCGAATTTCGTTTTGTTAACAGATATGCGAATTGTGCGGCCCACACTGTTGCTCGGGAGGTCTTTTCTATGTCAGGTTGTCCCCTTATTTCCTTGTAAACTGTCTTGCTCATGATTTAATCCTAAAAAAAAAAACATAATTTTAACAAAATTAAAGAAAATTATATCTAAAATTACATTTTTTTTTGAATGCTACTCCCACAATGGGGTTCAAACCAAAAACCTCTCATTTGAGAAATCACACCTATGCCGCATAACTGCAAGACCTTTGACCATTTAAAATTACTTTAAACATACTTAATTTCAATAATCTCAAAGGTCAGGCCTATTTCCTCCAAAATTATTAAAATATTGGTTAAACCGACTACTTTGTTCTACTCCTCCAAATGGTTGATGAACTCTCTTTGCATGAGTTCGAAGTTGTGTATTTCTGACCCAGCCACGTCTTATTGGATCTGTTTTGAAGCACCACTCGGGTTCCAGTTCTCAACCTCGGAACGATATGGTAATTATGAAAATTAAATGTAAAGGATGTTCTATGATTTATTATTGTGAAATAAAATAAGATTTATCTCATAATTGTATTGTGATATATATATATATATATATATATATATATATATATATATATATATATATATATATATATATATATATATATCTAAAAACATAATAAGTGTGGATGAAGGTTATACCCTTCATTCATGTCCGTTTTTTCCGTTAAGTTTTATGATACATTATGCTATAAATGTTGTACTATACAATATTTTGGACAAACATACTCCTACCGTTATAACTTCCCGTTATCTTTTCCACTATTGCTACAATGCACATGCATCCACCATATATTTTCTTATTTTCAATAATAATAATAATAATATACACATTATATATTGGGGTTATATGTTAGTTATTTCTTAAAATATAAATATTAAATTTATAAAAATATTTTACATTATCATAATAATAATAATAATAATAATAATAATAATAATTATTATTATTATTATTATTATTATTATTATTATTATTATTTACAATAATTTAAATATTTATAATCTAAATAAATTTAAAATTTTAATATATAATATTAATCTTGGGCATCTATTTTTTGCGCATCGCGCATAAGAAATACTAGTATATATATATATATATATATATATATATATATATATATATATATATATATATATATATATATATATATATATATATATATATATATATATATATATTTGCATATTTTGTTAAATATTTAAACATAAATTGTATATTATTAAAAAAAATCATTTGAAAGATCTCATCAAAACGATTAAAACAAGACTAATATTGAATATAATTTAATTAAAAATAAAATTACTTAAAATATAATTAAATTTTAATTTATTAAATTACAACTATATGTTATATTAAAATAATAAAAAGTATAAATATAAACTTTTAATTTATGAGAATATAAATTATTTTAGTGTATGAATAAAATTTGATGTAATGGGTTGGAGATAAAAAATATTATAAAATTTAGTGCAGAAGGTTGGAGATGGTCTTTTCATTGCTTTTCAATTGTTCTTTTTAAAAAAAAAAAAAAAAACAAAATAAACAAAATCTCATAATAGTCCCTACTTGACAAATGAGCTAACAAAAGACTTGAAGAAAAAGAGAATAATAATAATAATAATAATAATAATAATAATAATAATAATAATAATAATAATAATAAAAAACTCATCTATTGGAGATGCTCTTTTATATATATATATATATATATATATATATATATATATATATATATATGACAAAAAGGCGTTGTGTTGAAACAATAGGATTTGAATTCCTGACCTTTCTTAGGGTCACATGCATGATTTGCTAACTAGTCTATCTCATTTTTTTAATTTATATTTTTATGTATTCTTATACTTTATGATTGGTTTTCATCTCACTGGTCACAAAAGCACTTTATATCTCTAGAGGAGGAGATCGAGAAAGAGAATCCATGCATGGAAAGCCATCCTACGACTCCTTCCGGCTCAACTCCTTCCCTAGATCAGCAATCGCTCTTAGAAGCTTCATAAATCGAGTCTCCATCTCAGTTATGCTTTCGGTGCCCATTCGGAAGTTATTGAACTTCTTCATGGCAATCGTAACTTGTTCTCCTTCTCTTGCTCATCCCCTTCACGAATCTGCATTAAGAATTAAGATATTCTATATCTCCTTGGCAGATATACACTATCTTCTTTCCACATTTTTATGGTCTTATCAGCCTAACAAGTAATAAGTCTTTGTACCAGTTACATCATTGATGAGTGCACATATGTTCACAGTTCACCCCTATCTCATAACTTTTAATCATACTGTTTTTATATTAAATAAAATTGTGTTTCTTTTACGAACATGTTATGTTTCATGTCTTAACGAATCAACATGTTAAAGATATTAAGAATATAATTAACTCGTTAATATTATCGTATTAACCTATTAAGACAAATCCGTTTATAACCTACTAAGAACCCATTGTTATTTTTGTTTGAAATACTCAAAATAACACATTCTTATTTAATATAAGGAGAAAATATTTTTCTATTTAAAATATCTAATGAATGAATAAGATTAAAACAAATAGATAATATGAAACAATATATTAAAACATTCCATCTTTAATATATTTTATAACATATTTTAAAATACACAAAAATTAAATATAAACTATGACAAAAATATTTATTATTTGTATAAATTTGCACAATTTATGTACTAATAAAATAAAATTATTTAATAGAAAATTAATTTATAATTTATTACATTATCTGTCTGCTGTTAATATATTTGACATTTGTAATTAACATATTATGTGTCTGCAGTAACAAATTATGTGTCTTCAATTTATTTATAGGCACATAATATGTTAATTAGATGTTATGAATTGAATATGTTTTTAGTTTGTTGGGATTAAATTGTAGGTTTTATATATATATGTATATATATATATATATATATATATATATATATATATATATATATATATATATATATATATATATAATTGCACTCTGGTGCGAATATGCCAATGCATGATATCCGTCCACGTGTCCAGATCTAATGAATGAGAAACACTGATTTAAAAAAAAATGCGGGGGCATTTTCGTAAATAATTGAACATCGAAGTGCAAGTAAAATGTATTATAGGTGCAAGTAAAAATTTACACTCAGCATCAATACTAAGTGCACCTATAGTTATAAGTAGTTGCACCTAAGTGCATGAATGTTTGCGGGTGGTTTTCAGGGGTATTACTACCCGCTGAACTCAGATCAATGAATGTTAACAAGACAAAATTACATGCACTTGCAGGCGAAAGTAGGTGCACTTGTAGGTGAAAGTAGGTGCACCCGATCAATGAATGTAGGCAAAAACTACATGCACTTGCAGGCGAAAGTAGGTGCACCCAATCAATGAATGTTGACACGTGGTGCGCGCTGATTGGTTCGCATTTCTCTCCTGGGCACTTATTAGCACTTGAACGTGACCCTATATATATATATATATATATATATATATATATATATATATATATATATATATATATATATATATATATATATGATCATATGAGAACACTTGCTTAGGTGAGAACGTGAGAACAAATCTTGTGCATCAATCTAATTAATTTGAATGGTCTAGATTAAGTGTGTGCAAAATGTGTCAACGGTAGATACAGAATCTGAATGTTATTTTTGGACCAGAATCTTGTTCCATGGTATAATTTGGCAATGTAAAAAGTATCAACATTGTTTTTATATTTGGGCAAAAAGGTGTTTAGAAATCCATTCGAGAATTATTAAGATGGGAATGATGTAGGCTATGCCAATCAACATGTAATGTTCTTTTTAGCTAAAATGTATAGAATAATACTTTTTAAGTATTACATGTCTTATGTGAAACAATCTCACATAAAACTTAGTCTTGCTGAAAGAGTTTGTCAAATTGACAGAGGAATTTCTATAGGGAAAAAAAGAGAGTAAAAGAACACATCTTTTAACTGTTGGAGTAATCATATATAATCACAAGTAATCAAATATAGTTTCTCAAGTATTACAATCTTGAACAAGTGGGAGAAGGGGATACAAATAGCAGGACTATCCCCAAGAAACTCTGATGGACTGACTTCATCTGGAGCCAATCTTCAGGTAAAGAATTGTGTGAAGAAGTTGAAACATGACAAATCAAATCAATGAAATGCACTGTTATTTTCCCCCCTTATATTATTCTCTGCAACAAACACAGCTTATTGGCACAGCAGTGCTTTTGAGAATATTATTAATTGATCTCGCCATTCGTATCAGGTTAAGCAATGGAGATGTTCTCCACTCTTGGTGGTCCCGAATGCCGCCTTGGCCTGCTAGCAGGGGATGGTGGGAACGAAAGCCGCTTCTTTGCCCCCTTTTCTGGAGTTGTTCCATTCTCGACGTCTGATGGGCTCTGCAAACGTGTCTTGGCCTTTGCTGAATGAGTGGGTGCCATATAGCTCGGTACAGTAGACGGGGAGCTAGCCAAACTCTCGTCGTCTCTCACTGATGACCCACCAATGCTGTGCCTCCTCCTGTTGCGCTCTGATTGCACACTGAACACGCTTCTCGTGTCATCATCTTGGGCGGTGGCACTCGCTCTTGGGCTTGGCGGTTTTAGTTTTCTGGCTGGAGTAGCAGGGGAATGGCGGCCTAACGAGTGACTTGGCTTTTGGCTGGCGGGCGAGGAAGGCTGTTCTGCGTTTAGCTGATGGCGAGCAAACGATTTAGTGATTTCTCCCACACTAATGCTCGAACCACCTTTCACAGACAACTGATCATTTCTAAGTGACACGCCCTCCGCTTCCCACGGTCTAGCACCCATCCACCTCTCGAGCCAGCTCCAACCCCACTGCGGATTCGTGGGATCCATAAACAATAAATTGGGAGACCTCGAGGACTTCTTCCATGTTTGCTGTCAAGTCGAAGTTAAATCGAAGTCATAGACTCATAGTTCTCATAAGATACTAAAGGGAACATAGCAAATATGACAGATCTTAAGGTTTAAATCCCTTTTCATGCTCAAATTGAGATCTTAATTTGAAAAGGACGAAAGTACCCTTAATATTTTCATATTTCGGCATGTCTTAAACAAATGGGTGACAGGTGTGATGAGTTTTGACACTAAAACAATAGTCGTGGATGAAAATTGGTACCAAAATAATAGTCATGGATGAAAATTGGTAGGAATTAAACATGTGGACTAAAACTGTCATTTTGCTAATACTCATGGGACTAAAATTGGTATTTGCTCCAGAAAGAATTGTTAAATACCTGATGAGAATATGAATAAGCAAGTGCTCTTTCACGTCTCGTAGCAGCTTCATATTTGCTCAACAAGTTTGCTTCTATTTGCTCTTTTGACTGTAGACTATCATCCCACTCCTCCCCTCTCTATCAAACATAAAACGAAACAGCTTTAGAAATAATGTGACTTGTTTCAAAATGCATTTTGAAACATACGAGCATAAGAATGTTATTAATAAATAGTTAATGGCAGTAGTTGGAACACTCGAAACAAAGGTTGGAAGAGATGATATTCACCCTCAAGTTCTCGAGTTCCTTGGCGTGTTTCTGCACGAGCTGTCTTTGGAGGGCTCGATTTTCCTCCAACATTCTATTCCTTCTAGAATGAATCTGAGACTGCACACGGGACAAAGTCTGCATGCATTTAAGAGCATTTGCGGTTTGCCGTTTGACAGTAGGCCCATCAACAAGTGCTTTTAGCCTCACGAGCCCCCTTAAAGCTCTCAATGCCCTCCTAGCCTGTAAACGATGAACTCGTTAATTTGGCAACTGGCTTTAGTATCTGTTCTATACTTTCTCAATCTATTTAAGCCCAAAGAATCAATGCCCCCACCACCACCCTCTGACCACCCTAGTAACAGAGGTGCCATCACACTACATAGTAGTTGGCTTACTATACTGTATTTAATACTTCTAAAATAAGGATTTTTCCTGTCAAAAGAGAGGGGGCACCGGGGCTGGGGGATTATAGTATTATACCAAGTATCCTCGGAATGCAGTTTGAATCCTAATTGCAGCAGTTTCCTCCTTCGATTTTCCTGCAAATCGATCTGGTGCAGTTAACCTAACAACTTCGGCTGCAGCATTAGCAGCTACTACTGCAGCTTCAGCAGCTGCCACCGTGGCAACTGCAACCGAGTAAGCATGTTTTGTCTGCTCTTTCTCCACTTGTGTCGGTTTCACCTCTTCCACTGGAGGAACCGGAGGGGGCGGCAGTGATACAATAGGAGTTTCGAAAACTGAAGAGTCTGGAACCTTAAGCTGTTCTTTCTCCAACCTTTTCTTATTTGATTTACTAGCCTTCTGAAGAGAGAGAGAGGAAAATGTCACAACCTAGTGTGAGTCAACAATACCAATCACAGAGGACTGGGGATTGTGATCCTTAGGGAGAAAAAGAGCAGCTCTTTCTTTACCTTAGATTCTGGGCTGAAAACCTTCTTTACTGAAGATAACCAGCTCCCTTTCTTCCCCATTCTTTTCTCAATTCCCCAAATTTTCCAGTTCTGTAACAAAACATATAAACCATTATTTCAAAGTTTTGACCTTACCATGAAAAACATAAGGTCCTGATTTGGTAACATAGTTAGCTTATCGGCCAATTTTGGCTTATTCGACCAGTTGTTTGTCTTGGTTAAACAGCCAATATAAGTGTTTGATTAATTAGCTTTTTTACCAACTTATTACTCCAAAACGCTAAAATTCAAAAAGCTACTCAAAACGACTTCTTGAGAAAGTCATTTTGCATGTAATCAACTATTACCTAATTTACTAAACATCTTTCTACAATCAGTTAATACTATCAACTAGTCAAATCAGCTAACAGCTATTTACCAAACAACACATATACACTACATTAAAGCATCGATCACACCACTAAACATCATCAGCTGAATTCAAGAAACAAAGCATAATAAGGGGTTCAATTCCGACCGACCGACACTAATCTAGTCTTAATTAAGATACAATGCATTCATTAACCAGGTACTAGAATTTCAAGAATGCCCAACAAAAATAAAAATTTAAAACTACCCACCCTAACCAAACGAAACAAAATTTCAAATTTAAAATTTTGTCAGAACATATATCAAGAAAAATGGAGCTGAAGAGTACCTGCAAGTGAGAGAGAGAGAGAGAGCTTCTTGGGGATCTCAAAGCTGCTTCTATTTTGTGTTCCCTTCCTTGTATGCTGCAAGGAAAGAATAAATAAGATCATAAAAAGAGCAGCCTTCTTCCTTACTCCAGTGGCAGAGAGAGAGAGATATTTCAGATCTTACCAAAGAACTGAGCGATGCAAGAAAGAAAAGAATACAGCTAGTTTTGGCAAGTCCGACCCCACTACCTGAGCTGGGGAACTGGGCTCCACGTCATTATGTTTGAAATTTTGAACCACTCCACTGTCTTTTACTCTTTCAGTCTCATTTTATGTGTCTGATTCGGTTAACGAGGCTGAACTAAAGTTATTTTAATTCAATTTTTCATAATATTAAGTTTAGTATCACTATACAAAATTTATATATTTAGAAACTACACTAAAAGTACTATTAAACACAAAAAAATCAAATTTAAAAAGTAAATATAAAATACTAAAAAAATAAACAAAGAATAAGGAGGTGGTTTGTCCAATGAATAGTAAGTAGGACAGATAAAATGGGACATAGAGGATATTATTTATTTATTTATTTTGATGATTTATTTGTATTTTTTTTTCAAACATAATATGGAGTAGTATTTCACGGATAATTACAAGAATAATGTTAAATGAATCATTTTTTTAAAATAAATTTTATAAAATTTTATACTTTTTTTAATGAGAAATTTCACCATTTTTCAAAATTGTATGTTTTGTCCGAGAAAAAAAAAAACAATAACTTGATCACTAATCACTAATAATAAGTTTAAATCTTTAATAACGAATTATTATAGTATAAGAAACAAAATTAATTATTTGACAAATGACAATACGTATTTATTCATTTGTGAACGTCCATCCTGATAGCCGTTGGGCTATGTCAAATTCACACCAAATTATTTATGAAATGGATGCCTCATTGCCTTGGAATTTTTCGAAATACACTTTTTGTTTCTTTTGTTGGAATTTTGGAAAATGTGAAATTAATTGAATCTCGGAGTCCTCACATTTTATTTATTTATTATTTTTATTTGAATAATACTAGATACACCATCTTTTTTTTTTTCCAACAATTCATCCCTCGTGGCATTAGTTAATTGGTTATCTTTTAAATTAATGATAGGATAAATAATTAATGAACACCCAAAAATGAAAGTCACATTGAGAAAAGAAAAATAGAAGAAAAAAATCGTTAGGGATAAGAAACATTTTCATTTTTATTCTTTCAAAAGGTTGAACCCCAATCCTAACGCCTTCTCTAAGGGAGCGGCATTTGTGACACCAAACGCCAAAATGGCGCTGATTTTGGCGCTGCACTCCTCCAACAAAGCGCCAAAAGAGGCACCATTTTGGCGATGATCTACAGTGCAACGCCATATTTGGCGCTGCACTGTAGCTTGACGCCAAAATGGTGTTAATCTTTTTAATTTCTACTTTGACCCTTGTCTTTTTTATTAATTCTTTTTGTATCCCTATTTTGTTTTTATGGATTTACATATTTTATTAAATATATAAACATAAAATTTGAATAATTAAAAATAAATTATATCATTTGAAAGATCTCATCAATACGATTAAAACAAGCCTAATATTATATATAGATTAATTAAAAATTAAAATACATAAAACATAATTTTCATAATATTAAACTGAATACATCCGAAATTAAATAAAACATACCTAGAATTAATAGAGAAGCACATTATGCACTTCGTAATGTATTGACAGAGCATTTGTGGGAACGATATGGTAATTTTGAAAATTAAATGTAATAGTTGTTATATATTATATTATTGTGGAATAAAAATATTATTTGCATTACAATTAAATTTTATATTAAAAAATTAAAGTAAAAAATTAAAGTTTTAATTTATAAAAAAACAAATTATTTTAGTGTAGAAATAGAATTTGGTGTAATGGGTTGGAGATGAATAAAATTTGGTGTAAGAATATTCTGAGAATATTCTTTTTTGTGTAAAATTTGGTGCAGAATTTGGTGTAATGGGTTGGAGATGGCCTAAGGGCATATTTTCCTTTTTATTTTACTACTTGTTGCGGCAAGATCGAAACTAAAGTGTATTATCTGTGATAGTTCACATGTTGATTATCTATAAGCTAGGAGTTGAAAAGCTATAAGCCTAGCTTTAGTTATTTCACATGTTCACATGTTTGGCAAACCTAGCTGAAAAGCTACAAGCTAGGAGCTGAAAGCTGAAAAAGAGCTGAAAGCTGAAAAGGAGCTGAAAACTGAAGAGCTGTTAAGCTAGCTGTTATGATTGAAAGTGTTTGGTAAAATTAGCTTTTTGATAAGCTGATAAATGTAAAAAGACTAAAAAGGACATCTTCATAAAATTTAAATTAGTTTGTTTACATATTAAAATTTAACATTTTGAAATAAAACTATTAGAATAATCATGATCTAGCATCTCATAATCAAGTAGCAATATTGTTGCAAATCTCATAATAATAATAATAATAATAATAATAATAATAATAATAATAATAATAATAATAATAATAATAATAATAATAATAATAATAATAATAATCATCTATTCAAAAATAAAAATAAAAATAATAATAATAATAATAATAATAATAATAATAATAATAATATTTGCCGTGAAAGTTGCAGATAAAGGAGAAGAGAAAAGAGTTTTAATTGAGAAGGGTAAATTATGTCATTTCTTTAAAATAATAAAGATAAAGATGGAAAAAAAAAAGTTAGGAAGCTAAGATCTTATTTTGAAACGCTACCTAAAGTAGCGTTCCAAAATAAGCTCTTATTTTAAGCTAGGAGCTTATTTTGGGAACATTCCCAAACAAAGCTTATTGCTTATTAGTAGCTTAAAATAAACGATAAGCTCTGCCAAACAGAGCCTAAATGATGTATAGGTGCGATTAGAGTTGTTAAAATGAACAGGTGGCTTGTTTAATTTAATCGCATAAGATATTTCTTCAACTAGGTATGTTTAATAATTTGTGGGATTGTCAAGACCTTGTGGTCTAATGACACCAAGGAAAAATTTGTCGTTGGCATACCTTGAGAGTGCACAATGCATTGTGCGCCTTGATGCACGATATAATTTGTCGTTGTGATTAGATTTTGACGAGGTGCGGTGATGAGTATGCTAAATGATGTATATGTGTGATTAGAGTTGTCAAAATGAACAGCTAGCTTGTTTAATTTAGTCGCGTAAGATATTTCTCCAACTTAGTATGTTTAATAATTTGTGGGAGTACCCGGGTTATTGGTACTCGTGGGTTAATATGTATAACTCGCAATCTCACCTCACTCTAACTTTATTTAAATATAGGGAAAAATATCAAATAGGCTACCGAATTTATTATTTTTGTGCAATTTAATCATTGAACTTAAGTATGCAAACGAATTGAACCATCAAACAAGAAAAGTTTGTGCAATTGAATTGTTTTTTGGATTTCTTTTAATACAATTTAAGTTGAAAACATTTCAATCTTCCATTCCAACTAGTATGACAGAGGAAATGGCGGCTCTTGGTACAAACTATGTAAGCAATATGATCAGATTCTTCCAAAAGAACTTTTTAAAATGTCACATTTGCACATATTTTTCTTGTTTGATAGTTTGATTGCATACTTTGTAAGTTTAATGATCCAATTACACGGAATCAATAAGTTCAGTGGTCTATTTAACACTTTTTTAAAAAAATATATTTATAATTTAGATGTGATTTGTATTAATATTTAAAAATATTATTCATAACAAGAATTGAACTCTTAACCTTTTAATTAATCTAATCATAATAAAACCAATTATATTAAAAATACTTGTTAAACATACTCCCACACAAGAATTGAGAACTAATATGATCCATCCATCTATGTAGATCAGCAGTTGAATGTTATTGGAAAATAATAAAAAAAATATGAGGTTCTTTTTTATAAATATTGAAAACTTTCAAAGAGTTGGAAATGTTTTATTGGGAAGGAAAGAAAAAAGATCTCATAGCCTTTCTGAAGGATAGTGATACCTATCAAAGATGCAAAGAGGAGAATGTTATAAGCCTAGGTCTACTACAGTCATTGCCTATTCCAGACAAAGTATGGAGCTCAATTTCTATGAATTTCATAGAAGGCCTTCAAAAATCTCAAAACAAGGATTAGATCTCTGTAGTGGTTGATAAACTCACTAAGTATGCTCATTTTATGGCTTTAGCACACCCCTACATAGCAAAAACAGTGATTGACCTGTTCATGGAACACATCTACAAACTTCATAGACTTCCTTACAACATTGTATTGCATAGGGATAAAGACATAAAGTCTTTATTAGTAAGTTTTGGCAGAGATTATCAACCAGCTTAAAGTGAAGTTGAGTTTGTCCACATCTTACCATCCACAAACTGATGGACAGACCAAAAGGGTGAATAAATGTTTAGAGGCCTACCTCAGGTGCATGGTTTTTCATAGGCCTAAAGAGTGGGCAAAATGGTTACACGTTGTGTTTTGGTATAACACCAATTATCACAATTCTTTGCAAAATTCACCATTCCAAGTTCTATATGGATACAAGCCAACTGTGTTGGCTATTGGGAGGCAGCCTTGGGGACAACAAGAGATTGGATGGCAGAACGAGCAGCAATTCTCGCATCCTTGAAGGATAATCTGATTCAAGCACATAACCGAATGAAACAACAAGCAGATAAAAGGAGATCTAAGGGAGAGTTTGTTTTGGGATAATGGGTATATCTGAAAATTCAGCTCTATAAACAAGTTACCATGGCAGCCAGATTGAGAGAATAGGAACTGTAGCTTATAAATTGCATCTTCCAGCTAGAACTATGATCCATCTTGTTTTTCAGGTCTATCAACTTAAAAGGCAAATCGGCCCAAAAATTCAAGCTCAACAAGCACCCCCTCTTATACTGGTATAGAAGGCGAAGTGTTAGCTGCACCAATAGCAGTGCTAGATAAGAGGCAGATTAAGAGGAATAATCAAGCAATTCCTCAAATCCTAGTCTAGTGGGCTAATCTACCAATTAAAGCAACAACTTGGGAGGATTATTATCACATAAAGATCACCTCCATGATTGTAATTGTGATACTTGGAATTGTGATGAGAATTATTCATGAGATCCTCCTATCTATACCTATACTTATGTTTTAAACGATACTGTGGATGATATCTTATACTTCGTTGTGTATATGTATAAATACTATTATGAAAAGATTTGAGTTGTAAATAATTATATATAGATATCTATATGTATACTCTTTTACCGTGTGAGTTCCTTATTCTTTTGACGTTATGTGTCTCTAATTTTACTAAGTCTCCTTAGCTTTTTTTTTTTTTTTTTTTTCTCCCCTCTCATTTTCTCTTTCCTAATTACACTTGTAAAAACTCTTCAAAAACATTACATTATTGAAGATGCTCTAATACATGAGTAACATGGCAGGAGTCTCCCAACGCATGCTCATTTCTTTGGTGCGCGCATGTATAAATTGTGTTGGAACTTGAAGCTACTCAAGATAGCAATAGCGATAGTAATACTAATATATATAAATTAAAAAAAAAATGGGGAAGGAGTTCAAAGAAAATCGAAATTGCCCTATGAAGGGAAGGGTAGGGTTGTAGTTGTTAGGTGGCAAATTCCCATTGGATTAACCAGCAAGCTCGTATGGATCCAATTTATGAGTAATTCTAACTTAACTAACAAAATGCATATTTGGCAAGTAAGAAATGAATGGGATCGATTGCACCTGGAGAAGAGGATCTTTTTATAACTGCAATTTCACAGAATATCCACCACAAAGATTAGCCACTACAAGAGCATACATGCATGTTCTTCTAAAAATAGGAGCTGGAGAGGTTTAGAGGGGGGAGCAGCTAAAACAGAGACAACAAAAAAATGTATTAATCAATAAATAAATAAATCTTTTTTTTAAAGGAAATAGAATAACTTTATTAAAATAGATGCTCAATACAAGAAGGAATCACCGATAACCAGCACAACAGACCAGATTGAGAACGAGTAGCTCTAGCTAGTGCATGAGCAAACTTGTTCGCTGATCTCAGAATAAAATGAATAGACACTGATTCAAAGTGTCGTTGAAGAGAGCGGCACTCACTTAAAACACAACCAGCATAAGAAAGATCATGTGCCATACCATCGAACCACTTGCAAACCAACTGACAATAAGAAAAGATTATCAGTTTATTATCTCCTCTTTCTCTTGCTCAGGACAAAGCTTCCTTCACGGCCATGGCTTCTGCAAGTAAAACATCACGCAAACATCTAACAGATCCATTCTTAGCCGCCACAAAACCGCCATTACTATTTGTCATGTAAGCACCAAAATAAGCATCATCCGAATCTGGATAGACCGCCGCATATACAAAAATGCAAACCGTACCTGGAGACACATGCATCTTATCAGAACTAGGTGAAATAGCATGAGATATATTGTTGTTCTGCGCCAGATTTTCCTCCCAATCCACCAGAAGTTTGAAATCTCCATATTAATAGAATTTATCTACCACTGTTTGCTGCTCCAGACCAAAGCATTGCGATGCTTCCAAATAGACCAGGACATAGCTATGCACCGCTTAACAACAATGCCGTCAGCCACCGCTAGCCACTTGGTCAAACAAACTACAAAATCATCATCATCGGCAATTAACAGGCGGTGCGTATCAATCCAAAGAGGTTGAACATGTACACAATCAAAGAACAAGTGCCGCAACGTCTCAGGATGTTGTTTACAGAGATGACAACTCATATCGACATCTATCCTCCTCGAACATAAGGCTTCCATTGTTGGTAAAACTCCATGTACATAAGGCTTCCATTGTTGGTAAAACTCCATGTATACATCTCCAAACAAAGTTAATGATATTCGGCAGGATTTTGAGCGTCCACAACTCCTTCCATGCAAAATTCAAGCTCTGACCTTCATCTTGAAGAGTATTGATCAGCTTATAACCATGCTTCACACGATACTGACCTGTAATATCATCACGCCAGCACCAGCTATCATTAAAGCCTAGGGCCACAGGGATTCTACGTATCAAACTAACATCACAAGCATCAAAATACTTGATCAATTTCTCAACATCCCAATCCTTAGTCGCTGGGATGATCAACTCCCTGGCCTTCATATTTGGGTCTTGGCTCAAACACGGTGAATGAATATATGGATCCTCAACATCCGGCAACCAAGGATGCTTCCAGACTGAAGTTCCTTCTCCATTACCAATGTGCTTTACACGGCCTGTGCTTAAAATATCCTTTCCTGCTAGAATTGAACGCCAAACATAACTGGGATTTGCACTAATTCTAGCATCCAAAAATTCATCTTAAGGGTAGTAACGTGCCTTGAAAATTCGAGCTGCTAGAGATGTTAGGTTTGTAAGGAGGCGCCAACCTTGCTTGGCAAGCAACGCAAGGTTGAACTTATGTACTTGCTTGAAACCTAGACCTCTAGCAGCTTTTGGGGAACACATACGTCGCCATGCCATCCACCAGATTCCACCACCTTCATTACCCCGCGAACCCCACCAATATTGATTCATAATGCGCTCACAGAAAGTTAAGGGCAAATAATATATACTCATGGTATACGTCGATAAGGCCTGGGCAACACTTTTGATCAAGACTTCCTTACCGGCACGAGACAACACCTTCTTATGCCATCCAGTCTCAAGATACGAGAAAACCTCCTTTCTGTTACGGCCAATCCCTCCACAATATTGACACGCATTCTTCGAAATGGCCAAAGTATTGGGACTGAATAATATACATGACTGGCCGGACATTGCTTCATATGTCGTGAGACCGTCCTTAACTGCAGCCTAAGAAATTGTTGCCTTGAAAAAAAAGAGGCTGTCATCGGCGAAAAACAAATGGGAGATACCTGGAGCACCACGCGCCACAACACATGGAGATATCATTCTGTTACAAAGAATGAATAAATAAGGCAAAAGTGGATCGCCTTGGCGTAAACCTCGGGATGGTAATATGAAATTAGTAAAATAGCCATTCAAACCAACTTTGTAACGAACAATTATGACACACCTCATAATAATATCAATCCAACGACTATCAAACCCCATTCGTATCATAACCTACTTCAAAAACCCCCCATTCCATCTTGTCATAGGCTTTAGCCATGTCAAGCTTAAGGGCTCATTCCATCTTGTCATAGGCTTTGGTCATGTCAAGCTTAAGGGCTCATTCCATCTTGTCATAGGCTTTGGCCATGTCAAGCTTAAGGGCTCATAACCTGCTTCAAAAACCCTCAACCTGCTTCAAAAACCTTCATTCCATCTTGTCATAGGCTTTGGCCATGTCAAGCTTAAGGGCACACCAAACATTATTTCCTTGCTTCTTCCGGTGCAAATAATGTACTACTTCCGAGGCGATGAGTACATTATCATTTATTAGGCGATCGAGTAAAAAAGCACTTTAAGGGGCCGATATCACACCATCCAAGACCTCCTTATTTAATACTAATAAAAATTAGAAGATATTGTCTAAGATGAAGTGCATGGCAGTACTATGATACATAACCTCGCTTAGAGGCATACCAAACTCACATAACTCAAATTTTCTCCAATTATGTGTTTTCAAGTTATAAAATAAAATAAAAACAGATCTCTTCAACATCAATAACACAGCAATCTCCCCAACCTGATTTGCAACAAAAAACAAATTTCTCCAGATAAACTCCTCTTCATTTGCAACCTTTTCCCTTTGTAAATCTTCATCCCTAATCTCTTGGGATAATAGTCTAGGAATGCAAATTGAATATTGTTTCTTCCATACCATTGATTCCTCTAGAGTCCATATATTCATACCCAGGCCCACAAGTGCTAATCGACCATCCACCTCTACCAAGCCCACAACAAGAATTATATTTGGGGGGAGAAGAGGCATCGCTAGGAAATTCTCAGTCCTAACGTCAAATGCTACTATGTGATAATTTGAGTAATTCAGCGAATTAAGAGAATAGATTATCCCGTCAATATGAACACTAGTGTGAAAATAGAAATCATTATTAAAGCAATTGTAAGGATTGAAAAGGGGAGAGGGATGGACCTCCCTCCATGATTTATCCACGCCCAGTGTAAAAACCCAATGCTTTACCGAAACATGCCCATCCCGGAAGATGTTTTTTGAAAACTGGACTGACTTCAGCACCTTGTATCTTCTCGAAACGGGATCGAAACCCAAGAGCCCACAAACGTTCATCCTCATCCGAGAATCGCGGGGCAGACGAGGATAGGTTGGTGGAAGAGAGATATGGCGTCGAGTACTAAGGTTGTGAATTGCAATGTCGTCTCCGAGCCGTGAGGATCCGCAGAAACAAAGCAGGCCGTTCAGGGCGGACCGTAAATAAACCTTCCCGAAGATATCACCGTCGTCGTCGATATACTGGAGATGATTGACTTGGAGCTTTCCTTGGTTTTCTTCGGAGTAATTTGTGGTGAAATATCGGCTGGTATTGCGGTCACGGGTGGGTGGGAAAAAGATGAGAATGCTCATCCTACTGGGGAGGGTTAAGGACCAGTTGCGATGCAGATCGGCAAAGGGATGATCAACAAGCAGAGAAAAAAAGAATTTAGAAACAGACTTGAATCGCACCAGAGATTTGGCAGGGAGTTTACTCAGAATTTCGACGAGGATCTCTTGTGGAAGAAAAGCCAAAGCTGATGCACTCAACTTCGTCATCTTTGAAGAACTCATCGTCCCAACGTCTCTTCGATCTGTATGTAGTTTTAGGATGTATATGAATATATAGTGTCATCATAACTCGAAAATCCTAACCCTAATCCTATCAATTTTTGTGGTAAATTAGGAGTGAAAAAAAAAAAAAAAAAAAAAAAAAAAGAGTGACTTTTTTTTTTTGTTAGATTTTCTTTTGAAGGTAACTGAGTTAATTACTTAATTTTGCGGAGTTTTGAGAAATTTCAATTTCACCGCTTCTTACTTTTATACTCTAGTGGCTGGTAAGATAGAATTGTAATTTTATTTCTATAAAATTGCAATTTCATAATTTGGTTCTTAAGAATTGCAATTTCATAATTTGGTTCTTAAGAATTGCAATTTCACAAAGTGTGGAATTATAATTTCATGGTGAATTACTATTTTACCATTCTTCCCATCATCATCATTATTATTATTATATAAGAATAATATAGTCTTTATTTACTTTTCCACTTTCAATTCTCAATTATTCTATTCATGTTTACGGAATAATGTAATTTATTAAATTTCTACTCTATTTTTTCACATGGAATTATAATTCTTCCCCCTCCCCCCAATTCCCTTTTTCCAACCAAACAGCAGGAAATTAGAATTCCACTCCAACCCAATTCCGAAGGCAAGCTAGTACGGAATTAGAATTTCATGTTTCTCCCTTTTATTTTTGAATTCCACGATTTTTTGGAAGAAAAAAATATTTTTGAGACAAAATTACTATTATCTTTTAATTTCTAATCTAAATTTAATGTTTCATTAGTCTACTATTATAAGTACAAGTATTTTGATCTTTATACTACTTATACTAATCCCCTGACAATTCTTATTAATATCAAACACTTAAATTGAGATTTCTAAAATTCGATTTTAATTCAATTAAATTTGTAAGGCCACAAAACTCTCTCTCTAGAACACATCTAGGGTTTTCGCATCCATACTAGGGTTTCTAGGTTTTCGCAAGGTCGCCGGTGGACCCGTTCGGTCGTATGGCCGGTAATACGCAGGGAATGATTGGAGATGAGAGCCGAGGATTGCAGCGGCAGAGCGATGTCACCATGCGACCTCCTACGCCGGAAGTTGCGGCGGACGATGAGGTGGGTGTGGCGGCAATTACCGACCGCTGGGCAAACTGGGCGTTAGAGGAGGAGACTGCTGCGTTTGTGCCGGCAGTGGGTGAAGAGGACGACGGTGAGGTGGGTGAGGAGGAAAAGACATGGAAGGTGGTTGGCCGTTTTCTCATGCAGAAGATGATAAAGCTTGATTTTATGAGACAGGTTCTCGCATCTGTGTGGCAGCCGGTTAGAGGAGTGCAGGTAACGGAGATCCAAAAAGGTTTATTCCTGTTCGTTTTCTTTCATAAAACAGACATGGATTATGTTTTGAATGGTGGCCCCTGGGCGTTCGAGAATAATGTGTTGATTTGTCGAGAAGTCCGGGATGGTGTGTTGCCGGGGGATATCCAACTGAATATGATTGATATGTGGATACAGCTACATGATATGCCCAGGGGATATACGTCGCAGGCTATTTTGGAACAAGCGGGAATTTTATGGGCACTTTTATTAAACACGATGACCGTTATGAAGGGGCTCCGTGGTTAACTTTCCACCGGATTCGGGTATCCATACCGATTGATCGCCCTTTACGAAGGGGGATGAAGTTGATGAAGAGGGATAAGACTACTGCATGGGTCACTTTCCGGTATGAACGGTTGCATAAGTTCTGTTATTTTTGTGGGTTCATGGGGCATCTACACACGTTTTGCATTCATGCAAGGGAGGCAGGAATACCACTGGAACGGTACCCGTATGGTCCGGATATGCGTGCTGGTGAATCCCGGAGCGCTTCTAGAGCGGTTAGGGATAGCTGGCTCGTACCGGTAGGGGGGCGTCCGCGTCCGGTGGTGTCTCGGGAACCGGTTGGTGTTACGGCTGTCGTGGATTTGGAGAATGGGGGTGGAACGGGAAAGGTGGTGGAGGGGTGTGTGGTGGCATCGACGAAACGCCGACGGCAGGCGCAGGTGGATGGGGCGGAGGATATGGGTAGTAGGGGTGATATCACAATGCAAGATGGCTCAAAAAACTTGTCCATGGCGGGAGCTGGTGCCCAGCCCTGCCCATCATCATGAGTAATTTGAGCTGGAACTGTCGTGGCTTGGGCAATCCACGCACAGTTCGACAGATTGTGGGCATAGCGTCCAGTAAGAAACCTGATTTTGTGTTTTTGATGGAGACCAAGGTGCCGCGAGTACATGCAGAGCGGATCCGTGTTACGCTTGGGTATGAGGGTTTGTTTTATGTTGATAACGATGGGTTGAGTGGAGGAATGGCGCTTTTATGGAAGAAGAATAATACGGTCAGACTATTAAGCTACTCGCAGAGTCATATTGATGTGGAAGTTAGCTTGTTTAATAAGTTATGGCGCATGACATGTATATATGGTATCCCCGAGCGAAATAGGCGGGAGGAGACATGGGATTTACTTGGCACTCTGAAGAATATATCCTTGCTGCCCTGGGTGGTGATAGGGGACTTTAATAATCTCCTATATCAACATGAGAAGAAGGGGGAAAATCTGTACCCTAATAGCCTATTACGGGGTTTCGGAGATGCTGTGGATGGTTGTGGCTTGTTGCAGATGCCAATGAGAGGCCACCAGTTTATGTGGGAGAAGGGAAAGGGGACGCCAAATTGGATAGAGGAGAGGTTGGACAAGGCCCTAATAACGAATGATTGGGGTCTGATGAATGAGAACGCATGGTTGGAGAACATTCGGACCCGGGCCTCGGATCACTCGATTCTTTTCCTCAGTATAAATGCGATTTGCATGCCAAGGGGAAGGGGGCCGCGGAGATTCAGGTTTGAGATGGCTTGGTTGTTAGATGACGGGTGCAAGGAAGTGGTAGAAACGGCCTGGCAGGAGGGGAGAACGGAGGGATTGCTATATTGTCAGCAGTTGTGTGGAGAGAAGTTAATGCGGTGTGGGGGAGACCAGTTTCATAAATTCGGTAAACGAATTAAGCAGCTACAACAGAGGCAGGATACCATTCGGAATAGGCGAGATTTGGTGGCGCTAGCTGAGTACCAACAGATTGAGAATTCCCTGAAACGAATTGAGATCCAGGAGGATGTGTTCTGGAGACAGCGAGCCAAGCAACACTGGCTTCGCGGGGCAAACGCGAACACAAAATTCTATCACAAGTATGCCTCTGCTCGTAGGAAAAAGAATTTTATTTCTAGTATTAAATGTGATGCTGGTAACTGGGTGGAGGGGGAGGATATGCATTCCACTATACTAAAATATTTTGAGAATATTTTTGCCTCTAATGGATTGAGCTGTGATGATCCGCTTTTTGGGGTCCTAACCCCACGAGTGACCTTGGAGCAGAATATGATGCTAGACCGCCCTTTTGAAACTGATGAGGTAAAAGAGGCTCTTTTTTCAATGTATCTGAATAAGGCACCGGGCCCGGATGGGTTAAACCCGGGTTTTTACCAGCAGTTTTGGGAGGTAGTGGGAGGAGATGTATCTGGCTTTATAACGAATGCCTTGAATTCATGTGTATTCCCCGAGGTTTTGAATGATACTAACATTGTTTTGATCCCTAAGAAAGAGGTGCCAGAGACAGTTGCAGATTTAAGGCCGATTGTGTTGAGTAATGTCGTTTATAGAGTTATGGCTAAGATGATAGCAAATAGGATGAAAACGCTTATGGGAGGATTGATCTCAGAATCCCAGAGTGCATTTATTCCGGGAAGGCTTATCACTGACAACATCTTGGTGGAGGCTGAGGTGGGGCATTATCTAAATAGAAAGCAATGTGGTGTAGTGGGTTGGAGTGCATTGAAACTAGATATATCAAAGGCCTATGACAGAATGGAGTAGATCTTTCTAGAAAGGATGCTGACCGTTATGGGTTTTAGTGGGAGAAGTGGATAAAACTCATTATGCTGTGTGTAACGACTGTTAATTATACTATAATGGTCAACGGTATGGCAGGGGTGCGTAAAACCAACCAGGGGTCTCAGGCAGGGAGACCCTCTCTCTCCGTATTTGTTTATTATTTGTGCAGAGGCTCTCTCGATGATATTACAGTATGAACAGTTAGCAGGCTCTATACATGGATGCAGAGTAGCTAGGGGGGCACCGCCTGTATCACACCTATTTTTTGCGGATGATAGTCTACTATTTTTCAAAGCAAATATCCAGGAGGCGGGAGTTATAAGGCAATGCCTTGCAAGGTATGAGAAATTGTCAGGCCAAGTGGTGAACTATAATAAATCTAATATATGCTTTAGCAGAAATACCCAGGAGGATCACAGGGCACAGGTAGCGGATTATCTGGGGGTGGTGCAAGCACCCAACTTTGGGAAATATTTGGGTTTACCTTCCTTTGTAGGGAGGAATAAGAGAGCTGTTTTTTCATATGTGGAAGAGAAAATCGGGCAGCGAATTGGTTCGTGGAGTAAAAAGTTGCTTTCTCAGGCTGGTAAGGAAGTATTGTTGAAAAGTGTAGCGCAATCTATGCCTACCTTTTCAATGAGTGTTTTTTTGTTACCTGAGACAGTTTGTCAGTCAATTGAGCGAACTATGAATAAGTATTGGTGGGGAATGGAAGAGAAAGGGGAATACATTGGAAGGCTTGGGACATGTTGTGCGTACCGAAAAAGTATGGTGGTATGGGTTTTAAAGAGCTTAGGTCTTTTAATCTAGCTATGCTGGGAAAATAGGCATGGCGTTTTCTAACAGACCCAGAAACACTCGCAGCAAAAATTTATAAAGCAAGGTATTATCCCACAACCAGTTTTACTGATGCAACTATTAGTAATTGCCCAAGTTAGTGTTGGAGAAGTATAATGGCAGCCCATGCAATGGTGATCTCAGGGGTGCGAAGGAGAATTGGGAATGGACAGACAACGTTAATATGGGGGCATCCGTGGTTATGAGATAATCCTAGCCCATTGATTCAAACAGAAATGCCAGAGCAGTTGAAAGAGGCACGGGTTGCAAGATTAATTGATTTACAGACACACACATGGGATCCACATATTTTATCTGACTTGTTTATTCCTGAGGATGTGGAACAAATAAATATGATCCCTATTAGTCCGGATTACGAGGACTCATGGTATTGGATGAGTGACCCAAAGGGGACATATACTGTGAAGAATGCCTATAGGCGTATTGTGGGTGATTATGAAAATAACCCCGTGATGTTTGATAAATGGATTTCAATGTGGAAATTAAAAGTCCCCCCCAAATGGAAGACTTTCTTGTGGAGAGACATATGTGATATTTTGCCAACTACCATTAACTTATATTTAAAAGGGTAGAGGTGGACCCAATATGCCCAATGTGTGGTTTAGATCATGAAGATGTGTTACATGCTTTAGTGCTCTGTGAATATTCTAGACTTGTTTGGAATATAACACAATTGCCTATCACTAATATTATTGCAGACTCTTTTACAACATGGCTAAAAGGGGCTTGATGGTAGCGGTGTTATATTATATTTGGAGAGCCAGAAATTCGGCTGTCTGGAAGGGATCTATGACGCGGCCTACCCAATTAGCCAGAGCAGCAGCCGCAGCACTTCAGGCGTACGGCGCTGCCCAGGACTACCGTACCAAGCCGGCTGCGGCGTCGGTGCCATTAACCGAACCGGGGGAAGGGGGTCTGCGGTGTTATGTGGACGCGGGCTTCCGTCACGACACAGGCGAGGCTACGTACGGCATATTACTAATAACGCCAGATGGCTCTTTTGTGGCAGCAAAGAATGGCAAATTACCGATTTGTTTCTCACCACTTATGGCGGAGGCGCAGGCATACAAGGAAGCACTGTCTTGGTTACTTGAACGGAACAACACATCAGTAAGTTTACTCACGGATTGCATGGAGTTGACTACGATTATCCGGCACCATCACACGCCGATCCATTCGTACGTTGGGGTCACGATTGACCAATGCAGAACACTTATGTCTGTATTTAATCGTATTGCTTTAAATTACATCTCTAGACATGTTAATTTACATGCGCATACTTTAGCTTCGTTAGCATTTACACAGGATCAAGCTATGTACTGGGATGATATCTCACCTGACGCTATTTCGGCTTTGATTCATTAATACAATCGCAAGATTGACCTTCAAAAAAAAAATTGAGATTTCTAGTAATACTATTCATCTGGAAATCAAACACAAAAAAAAAAAAAAAAAAAAAAAAAAAAAAAAAATTCTATCTTTATTCTTCCACTATTCATCTCACATGAAATTACAATTCTTTGTGATATTTTGGAGCACCGAATCCACTTATCACATGACCAAAATTATTAAAACCTTTTAAATTAAACTTGATGTAGATACCAGGACTATGTGGTCTAATGGTACCCGGGTTGGACTTTCATTTAGAAAATTATGAGTTCGAGCCTCTGTGGAGGCAAGTTTGTGAACAGATACTACAATGTAATAGAGCCAATAACTTCACAAAAAAAAAAAAAAGAATTGATCTAGATATAGGGAGAGTACATAAGAATTCTAACCCCTCTCGTGATCAACTAAGGGTCTTATTTTTCTCTTCTCCCTTCTCTGCTTCTTCAACATTCAACAAAAGAACTACCAACACATCTCCTCCAACAATCCACAAAAGCTTCACCAACACTAGAAAAGTTACAAGGTATATTATTTTTATTTTTTTTAATTTTTTTTTTCCAAATATTATGGCTGGGGAAACCAGTGAGTCTGGTTTTCCGCATCGGAAACCAGATCTGGTTTCCGATGCGGAAAACCAGTCACTGGTTTCCGATCGAAAATCAGTGCGTCACTGGTTTCCAATCGGAAACCAGTGTTGCATATAATTTGTAATAAAAATTGTTATATTCTACAAACAAAAATAAAAATATATTATTCGGTATATAATAATTAAAATGTTTAATAAAAATAAGTATGACATTCTGTTCATTTTCTGGAAAATGAACCAAACACCAAAAGACAGTTTTCCATCATTTTTTGGAAAATGAACCAAACACCAAAAGACAGTTTTGCACACATTTTCCATTGTGCAGCCAAACACAGGAAAGGAAAATGACTCATTTTCCAGAAGTCATTTTTCGGATTTCCAAACAGACCCTAAATAATAATTATGACCAAATTAAATATCATCTCACCTCACTCTCGTGGTGTATTAATATGGGAATTCTATTTGCACCACCCTAATTTCTATTTATACCATCTATTTAATAGGTGTGATAGCTACCACCCTAATTTCTATTTATACCATCTATTTAATAGGTGTGATAGCTTTGTAAGTGGTGTAAATAGAAAATTGCTATTTGCACCAGCTTCATTAATTTTAGTCAAACATTATTTTTTTTTAACAAATATTTATTATAAATGACACTTTTTCCCCTTAGGTATATGCTTTTATCCACATTTGCCTCATCAGTAATATTAAAAGTGGCGTGTTTTCCCCCTTTTATGTTTGATAGACATTTATATAACTTAAGAGAAATAGACATAAGAAATATTACTAGAAATATTACTCAAAAATGATAGAGAAGGGAAAAAGTGTCATTTTTCCTTAATTAAATTTTGAATTAAAAATTATTAATTACACATCATAAATGAGGTTTGATTAAGGTGGTGAAAATAGCAAAATGAATCTCATTTCGCTATTTACACCACCTATATAATTATTGAAAGTTTTCACCTTTTTATAATTTTAAAATACTTTATACCCACTTTTGACCAAAGAGTGATACAAATAACAACACCCTATTAATATCTCAAAAGCACACAAAACATCAAAAACCTCATATTCCACAATGAGAAACATGTATTATCGAATGAGTGGCTTAGAATATATACCAACTCTCTCATTGTGGCTAAATTTTGTCAAAAACATGCTAACAAATGTCACTAATCAAACAATAACTATATATAAAAATATAAGCAGGTAAAAAGTGACAACAAAAATGTTAATGGGATGGATACCTTGCATTTCAATAAATAAATCCTATTTAGTAATAAAATATTAGTCAAAGAAAATTAGAAAATATTGTATAAGATGAAGTGCATGGCAATCTCTGCATTGAGAAGGATTATAGGCCTAAATATATTGCATATATCAAATTTTCTCCAACTCCGTCTTCTCAGGTTATAAAATAAAATAGAAATAGATCTCGTCCACATCACTAACACAGCAATCTCCCCATCATAATTTGAAGAGAAGAAGAGATTTTCTCTATTAAAGTCTTTTCTCGCAATCTCCTCCAATAATGGGGTGGGAAAGCAAATAAAACATTGTTTCTTCCATACCATAGATTCCTCCAATGTCCATATTGAAATACCGCAGCGCTCGGCTTCCATCCTGGAGTCCAGAATAGCTAATCGACCATCTACCTCCGACAATCCGGGCGACACAACATTTGGGGGAGGAGGGGAAGGTATCGCTTTGAAATTCTCAGTCCTAACATCAAATGCAACTATGTCAAAACTTCCCAACGAATTAAGAGAATAAATAACGCCGTCAATATGAACACTTGAACGGTAATAGAAATGGGTAGTAGAACAATTGTGAGGATGGAAGGATGGAGAGGAATGGATCTCCCTCCACGATTTATCCAGGCCCAGTGTGAAAATCCAATGCTTTACCGAAACATGCTTGCCGATGCGATCGATAAACTGTACTGACTTCAACACCTTATATCTTCTGGAAATTGAATCAAAACCCAAAAGCCCACAAGCGTTAATCCCGGACAGACGAGGAAAGGTTGTTGGAAGAGAAATATGGCGTCGGGTACTAAGGTTGTGAATTTCAATGTCGTCTCCGGATCGTGGGTATCCGCAGAAACAAAGCAGGCCGTTCACAGCGGACCGTAAATAAACCTTTCCAGAGAGATCGTCGTCGTTGTCGATATACCGGAGATGATTGGCTTGGAGCTTTCCTTGGTTTTCTTCAGAGTAATTTATTGTGTAATATCGGCAGGTATTGAGGTCAGACAAGGGTGGATAAAAGATGAGAATGCTCATCCTACTGGGTAGGGTTAAGGACCAGTTGCGATGCAGATCAGCAAAGGTATGATCAACAATCAGAGAACAATAGAATTTAGAAACACATTTGAATCGCACCAGAGATTTGGCAGGGAGTTTACTCAGAATTTCGACGAGGATCTCTTGTGGAAGAAAATGTAAAGTTGATGCACTCAACCTCATCTTTGATGAAGAACTCATCGCCCCAATGTTTCCTGCTGCTAATGAATGAATATATAGTGTTACCATATCTCGGAAATCCTAATCCAAACCCTATCAATTTGGAAAAGGGAATTTTATAATTTATACCCTCCATAATATGTTAATTATTAATGACACTTTTACATTAATAATTGTGTAAATATTGTCCTTCAAATTTCAAAAAAAGTACATATATTGACTCCCGAAGTGTAAATGTTGCCTCTCAATTTTTCTCCACTAATAATTCAGAAATAACATTGATAATTGACCTATTATGAAAGAACATAAATTTCAATGTTTCCTTTAAATAATAATATATAACTCCCAAGGTCTACTCAATATTCTCTACTTTTACTCACATATTCAAAATTTTGATATTGACATTTTTCTTATGACTCTTGTGGGGTTGAGCTCTACTTACATGAAGAGCAAAATTTCACTTTGAGTCTGTTTGCCGCGCTTATTTAGGAGCTTATAACTTATTTTAAGCTACTAATAAGTTATAAACTTGGTTTGGTAATTTTTACCAAAATAAGCTCGTAGATTAAATAAGAGCTTAGTTTGGAACTCTACCTACAAAATAAACTAGTAGTTTCCTTTAAATGAAATCATTATCTCTTCTCTTTTATGCACAACTTTCATTGCAATTATTATTATTATTATTATTATTATTATTATTATTATTATTATTGTGATGATGACATGAAGGAGATTCGCAACAATATTATTACTTCATTATGAGATGTTAGATCATGATTATGCTAATAATTTTATTTTAAAATGTTTTTTTTAAGACAAAATGTTAAAGTTTAATATGTAAACAAACTAATTTAAATTTTATGAAGATTACCAAACACTTTCGAGCATAACAACAAGCTTAATAGCTATTCAGTTTTTCAGCTCCTAACTTATAGCTTTTCAGCTTTCAGCTAAGTTTGTCAAACATAGTCTTTACCTTTATAGCCAATTTGATTGGAGGGAATTAGAATTTCACTACATCTAATTCTAAATGCAAGCAAATTATATAGTTTGAAATGGCAATTCTCTCACATTCACGGAATTAGAATTTCATGCCTCTTTCTAGTATTTTCAATTCTACGTTTTTAGGAAAAAAAAAAAAAAAAAAAAAAAAAAAAAAACTAAAATTGATGTTTCATTAGTCTGATGTAATAAGTACGAGTATTTTGATTTTTAAATTACTTATCCCCTTTCAATATCCATGGATACCAAACATTGAAATTAAAATTTCTAGTAATTCTATCATATGAAAAGTCATGGATTCAAACTTTGGTAAGAACAATATTGACTCTTTGTGCATCTTTAAGTTGAGAATAGTTATGAACAGATATTACATTCATTATAACAGAGTTAGTAATACTAAATAAAAAAAGTAATTCTATTTCTACAACCGTTAGGGAGAATTTTTCCCCGAACACTCCCATTTATCCATTTTAAAATTTTTTATTTGTGATACTTTGGAGCACCGATTCCACTTATCACATAGACCAAAAATTTTGAAACTTTTTAAAATAAATTTGATGTAGATATAAGGAGTGCACAAGTGTTTTGTCGTTCTCTTTGGATTGAGGATAATAGGATTACGTTGAGAATATAACCATCCAGATTCAATACATAAGTACATAACCTATAAGATTTGAGGAAATCAATCAACCAAGTAATACGTGGAGATGCAATTAGGAATTCTAATTTAATGGCCGCTCTCGTGATCAACTAAATAGTAGGTTGAACCCCAATCCTAAGGGCTCCCCACATCCACATGAACCACAGAGGCTAGACATTTGCTTAGTGCGCACAAGGAGCCCCCTCACTTTGAGAGATAGCTCCCACACTGTTGTTGGTGAGACTCAATCCCTGGTCATTCTTCCAACTTTTCACCTCTATAACCAGTTGAACTGCTCATGCGGGTGACTAAATAGTAATTATGACCAAAGTCTTGTGGTCAAGCGGCATAACTGTGCCTTCTCAAATGAGAGATCTCAGGTTCAAACCTTAGTGTGGGGACTATGACTCTTTGTGTTTCAGTAAGTTGAGAAAGTATGTATGAACAAATACTACATTAATGTAACAGAGTCAGTAGGACTCAAAAAAAAAAAAAAAAAAAGTAATTATGACCAAATATCACCTCATTCTCATGGTGTATTGATATCTCAAAAGTACACAAAGAATCAAAACCCTCATATTCTATAATGAGAAATAAAGATTATGCAATGAGGGGCTTAAAATCCATACCAACTCTCATTGTGGCAAATTTCTTCAAAAAACATGCTAATAAATGTCATGAATCAGGCAATAACAATATATACACATAAAGAATCTTTCATAATCTCAAAAACCCTAGGTAGGCAAGAATTCCCCGTTATGCAATATTCAATATTAAAGCATCTAAAACAATTATACAGCCCTACATGGGTAACTTAGTTAGTTCTTGAGTGGAAGATTGTGGGTAAGGCATAAAAGACCTCAAAATCACAATACCAGTATGTAAATAGCATAAATGAAAGATAGATAAAGAAAAGTATATAATATAATATATGTCCATGATCTCTTTGTCACCCATTGAACTTTCAAAAATTTCAATTATATGACATGGAAGAGTGAATTCAAAGACCAAACATTTGAACTTTCAAAAATTTCAATTATATGACATGGAAGAGTGAATTCAAAGACCAAACATTTGAAACACACAGTAACATTATTACACGTGTGTATACAATTATAAAACAGAAGAATATATATAAACAAGAAAATATTTATAAAACAGAAGAATATATATATAAACAAGAAAATATGAACCCATCAGACCATGCATGTCCATTGCATTTTCTAAAGATGAAGGGGAGATGATGATCATGCCATTCAAGTCAGACACATCTTCTAATGCCATTAAGAGATGTGGAGTGGTCAAATTCATAGCAGGTTTGGGTCTAGGGAGAAGACATGCAAAATATATGTTTTTACCATTGTATCTCAAATCCTTTTTTTTTTTTTGGGTGATGAGAGAAATCTATAGCCACTATTGAGAGTTTGCACGGGGTAAAACTCATTTTAATGTCATAGTTCACAAACCACATAGGAGAGGTAAACCATACTAGAAATACCTTGTACAATGGGTGCGATCGAGAAGGTGTTGATAAGAATCAAATTCATGACATCCAGATAACTCTAATATCATTCTTGTTTTTGCTCACCCTTACTACTGCTGAATGAGATGTAGTCTACCTTATCATCTTCACAGACATAGGCCAATTTCTAAATATAAAAACAATGGGAAAACAGAATGGTCAAGAGTGAAAAAGCCCAGCACATGTATGTAAACTCATGATATGGTGCTTTAAATACTACATTCAAGTTCTCCACAGGCCTATGTCAAGTGTGTCAAAAGGGGATTGCATTGAAGTGGAGCATTCATATACCAAAAACTAATCCAAAACTATGAGAAATGAACCAAAAATCTTAGGCAAGTCTAGCAGGGCTTCAGCCCAGCTTGTTGATCTTACCTGTCAGGTGGCAGCAGAAGCAACTTTCCCATCTTGCAAAGGAGGCAACTTGGGAATTGCCCAATCGGGTGCACTATCTAACCATAATGCTTCGCCCGACTCTTTGTTTTTAAAGTCGGGATATTTTTCGTTTCTTTTGTTCAACCTGTTATCCCACCATTTATCAGGTTTCTCCACCAAACTTCTCCAATTCTCCTCCTTCTCGCTCTTAACCTGTTGTTTTGATCTAAACTCCACTCCTTGGAGTCCCTTTAGCACAGAGTTTGGAGCTTTGTTCAGCCATAGTCCAACACCTTTGTTCTTGTGCTTAAAATCTGGGTGCCTAGCTTTCAATTTCCCCTCGAACTTAGATTCGCGATAATCCCACCAATCATTTGGATTCCTGATCAAATCCCACCAATCCTCATTTCCAGTAACACTTGGATTCATAGTTGTATTTGAGCTATTCAACCCATTCTGATCACCATTGTCCACACCAACCAAGCTATCATCTGAAACTATAGATTCCCCATTTTTCATCTTCTTCACCTCATCTAGATTTTCCAAATCCCCAGAATTAATTTTTGCCCCAGTTTTCTTCCCTTTCACACCCTCTACAAAGTAGACATCTTGAGCCACAATATGGAAATTCCCACCATATCCATCTATTTCAAAAGGCAATTTATCCCCACTCAATTGCCCAGACACATGGACACAATCATTTTCCTTCACATGGAAGCCCACAACATGAGCCAAATCACCCTCAAACACAACAGGAATCAAGAAGGAAGGCACATAAGACGCGGAATCAGTAATTTCATTGTTATCTTGCACAATAAGAGTGGCGGCCACAAACTTCCCATCAGGTAAGGTCCGGAACTGAACTTGGCGCCCCACAAATCCAATCACTTTTACAGAATTTGCGGCCTTACCTTGGAACGGAATCTCACTGGGCCTGCGCCAAGAAGAAGCGGGACCTGATTCTCTTGAATGTTTTACAGAACTAAGCGCGTATGATGCAGTGGGAGGCGAGGGTTCTTTGGGTTTTGTGGTTCCAGTTCTCGCAGTCCTGGAGGAACTGAAAGAAGCTTGTTGGAGGACTGCTAGGGCTTGTATGCATTTTCTTGGCTGCGAGGATGACCGAGAACAGTGTTGTGAGATTTGGGTAGAAAGTAGCTTTGTGAGCAAATTCATCGTTCTAGCGTTGAGTTCGGAAAAAGGGCAAGGCGAAAATCTAGGGCTTTGTAGTTTCAGGAAGACTCTGCTGCTACTCTGCCATGGCCGCGAGCACGGGGCCAAGGGGTTAAACTATGGGCAAATTATGCCCTGGACCCGATTGTGGACACGGGCCAAAACGGCGTCGTTTTAAAAAAAAAAAACGCTTCATTTAATTTTAAATAAAAAATCACGCGTGTTTTGACGTTAACGGTGTTATTTTTTTTTTAAGATTATGAATGTACAGTTATGCCGTTATGAATGTACAGTTTTGCAATTATGAAATTATGAACACAGAGCTCTGACATTATGAACTTACAATTATGAATATATAGTGATAAAATTATGACCATGGAGCTTTAAAATTGTGAATATAGAGCTTCGAAGATTATGAATGTACAGTTATGGAGTTATGAATGTACAGTTATGGAGTTATGAATCTACATTATGAGATTATGAATCTACAGTTATGGAATTATGAATGTACAGTTATTGATCGAATTATGAACAAAGAGCTCTGACATTATGAACTTACAATTATGAACATATAGTGATAAAATTATGAACATAGAGCTCTAAAATTGTGAACATAGAGCTTCAAAAATTGTGAATGTACAATTATGGAGTTATGAATGTACAGTTATGGAGTTATGAATGTACAATTATAGAGTTATGAACGTACAGTTATGGATTTATGAATGTACAGTTATTAACATATAGTAATAAAATTATGAACATATACTCCTATAACGAAGCGGTCTGAAAAAAAAAAAAAAGATAAAAAAAAGAAGATAACAGTGCCGTTAGTTATCCATGCTGGACACGGGTTCATAGCATAACGATTGATTGATTGATAACTATGACAATAGTTATGCTGTGCAACCGAATGTACCATGCGCATGGTGCATACGATGCAAAACGACGTCGTTTTGACTAAAAACGCGCGTCCCACTTTTAAAAAAAATTCAAGTTCGATTCTCGACAATAGCATTATTGTGGATATATTGTTATAAATTTGTGGATATATAGTTATAAATTTGTGGATATATTTTTTTTTTGAAAGTTACTGGCTCTATTACATTGTAGTATCTGTTCATATACTTTCTCAACCTACTTTCTATTTAGTTCATTCATTGTGGATATTTAGTTCATTCATTGTAGATATTTACTTCATTCATTCACTGTGGATATATAGTTATGAATTTATGGATATATAGTTATGAATTTCGGGATATATAGTTATGAATTTATAGATATTTAGTTCATTCATTGTGGATATTTAGTTCAATCATTGTAGATATTTAGTTCATTCATTGTGGATTTTACTTCATTCATTCATTCATTGTGAATTTTTACTTCATTCATTCACTGTAGATATATAGTTATGAATTTGTGGATATATAGTTATGAATTTCTGGATATATAAAAATGTTATTACCGGGAATCAAACATGATTTCTTCTTTAAATGGAAAGCACGTTTTTTTAACCAAAACGGCGCCGTTTTGCAACCGTATGCACCTTGCAAGGTGCATTCGGTTGCACAGCATAATTTGCTTAACTATGAGGCAAAGGCCGTAAGTTTCTTTCAATGCTTTAGAGTTGGACACTCGGCCCAAAATCTACAGCGATTTTGTCCAATTGTTACATCATGTAATAGGAACTATTGATAAATGTTACGGAGTATTTTTAATATACGGAAGGTTTATTTTTAAATAGGGATAAAGTACAAATAAGTCACTAAACTATTTAGGAAATAGTAATTGAGTCATCGAACTCAAATAACCCTCAAATAAATTATTAAATTCGGAAAAAAACAAAAACAAATAAGCCTTTGAACTCTGAAAAAAATAGCAATTAGCATTTTTTACAGGTTAACTTCAAGTTTTTGTTGATTGAATTGTCAAATGTTTATTTTATTTACGTTTATTATTTTTTTTTTTATTAATATTATCCACTTGGATAGTATTATATTTTAAAATAATTATAATCAAAATAGTTTTGTCTTGTCGAGATTTGATTTATTTATTTATTATTATTTTTTCACTGGATTTTTTGTTTAAAAAATAATAATAAATAAATAAATTAGATCTAGACAAGACAAAATTACTTTGATTATAATTACTTTAAAATATATTACTATGTAGGTGGATTATAATAAAAAAAAAACATAAATAAAAAAAAAAACATTTGACAATTCAGTCAGCAAAAATCTGGAGTTAACCTGTTAAAAATGTTAATTGCTCTTTTTTCCGGGTTCAATGGCTTATTTGAGGGTCATTTGAGTTCAATGGCTTAATTGCTTTTTCCCAAATAGTTTAGTGACTTATTTGTACTTTATCCCTTTTAAATAATATAATACATTAAAAATAAATCTTCAAATAATAAGCATTTAATGTATTAAAAATAAATTTTATGTCAATGTACAAGATAAACCATTGTCCATGATATAATGATCGTTTTCCATATTGCCATTCAATATATTATTTTAATTAAAGGTGAAAATTTTGATATTTGACTTTGTGTATGAAATAACCTTAAATCTCCCGACCACTCCATGTACACTTTTTTGCATCTCACATGATGAAAATATTCCATCTTTGTTTGCCACATATCATGGAGTAAAAGTGAGAGAGTAGAATTTGGAAGTACATGCAGTAGAACTTTGAGTAAAAATAACCAAATAGTTGCTTGTTTGACTACTATTGTACATTTTGGGTCCACCATTGTACTGACACCCACTACAAGAATAATGACATTTAGTGACGAATCTTTTGTGATATTTCGTAATTTAGTCACAAATAATACCCTTTTTGTGACCAAAAAAATAATTCGCCACTATTGTGTGGTGTAATTGTGATAACTTTTTTTTGGTCACAGATAATATGGTAATTGTGACGAGTAAGTATTTGTTGCGAATAAGTTGTCACTATTCCTAGAATAATAGTGTCGTAACATGCGTTGTCACTATTTGTTGTCACTAAATGTATGTTTATTTTGGCGGCATTATAATTATGGCCGGAACGAATATAATTGTGACAAAATATAATGTTGACACAAATTGTTGTACTTTTTGTGACACATAGTTGTTGGTCACTCTTGTTGATAATATTCATGACAGCGTTTTTTGTCACTAAAAATACAATTGGTTAGTACCATTAGAAATGATAAACAATTGTGAGAAAAAATATTGTTGTCACTAATATTACCATTTTTTGTGATGAAATTGTTACAAATATTTGTGACGCTTTATAATTTCGTTACAAAAATTATTAAATTGTGACAATAATTGTGTTGATTTCTTTTTTGTCACCAATTGATTATAATTGTGATGAGTTATTAGTTGTTAGAATGACTTCGTCAATATAGTTAAATAGATGGATATTGTGTGAAATGAATGTAATTGTGAAAATACATTTTACAATCACTCATTTTTAAACGTTCTTATGTGATGGATAAGTTTATTTCACTTATTTTACTAATTTGTCATATCAATTTTTTTTTTTTTTTTTGGAAATAAACATACCAACAATATATTTGAAACTGATTTATTAAAATTAACCATTCAAACTCAAAATATAAATAGTAAAGAATTCAAAAGTTATAAATACAAATTCATATAGTACTCAATCATCATCATCATCACCACCACCTTCCTCATCTTCAGCTGTTGGAATCTCATCATCATCATTAATAAAAGCATCTTCATCACTATCAATTTCATCTTCTTCGATACTGGTATGAACATTTGATGGGCTAACTTCAACAGTTGCAACATCCAAATCAGGCCTATGCAATACCATAACATCATCATTATCTTCCAAATTAGAACCTTGAATGGTAAAGCCAAAATTTTCGTTTTCTTGACACGGTCCATCTCCTACATCATCATCAGGGAGATCATAGAAATCACGAGGCTTTGTCTTGATAACAACTTGCCAATTAGGTTCCTTAATATCGCTTACATAGTAAACTTGCTCAGCTTGAGAAGCTAAAACATATGGTTCATCAGTTTGCAACTTCCGTGTAATATTGACCATAGGAAACCCAAAATTGTCAACTTTGAATCCAGTTTTATGATAAACATCCCACCAATCAGCCTTAAATAAAATAACATTATTTCCTCCATGGTAATTTAACTGTATGATATCTCTTAATACACCAAAATAATCCAAGTTGCCAGTATCTGCATCACCTTTCACAAGAATTCCACTATTTTGCGATTTTAGTTGCAAATCCCTGTCATTTGTATTAAACCTCCAGCCGTTGATAAGTATGCTTTTATAGTGATAAATACGCCTGTCTGGCCCATAGGCTAAATGCAACAATTGATCAGTGATTATTTCACTTCCTTCATTGCGTAATTCATTGACCTATCATGAGTAATTGTTAATAAAATTTTAAATCAAGTTAGTTGAAAGAATATAAATGTATATTAAATTACTTACATATTTCTTGAACCATAAATAAAATTCAGTTTTGTGTCTTTTTTCTACATTTCTTGGATCATCACTCATTAGTATTTCCTTATGCTTTCTTTACATGTAAAAAAAAAAATTAGTAAGAAGTTGTACGATATATATATAATGACTAACTTGGAAATTAAGGAAACTTACTTGGCAAACTCTCTAACTTCTTCACAATTTTCTAGCACATACATTCTTGCTTCGGCCAATTCAGTTAAGGTCAACTCAGCATATTTTTTTCCAAGCAAAGGCTTACTAACTTGTGAAAAAACTTGTAACCCAGAATGAGAGGAGACATCACTTCCCTCGTAGTTTCTCCCAACACGATTCAATGTAGTTTTAGATCCATGCAAATATCTAGAACAAAAATGCATGCATTCTTGCACAATATAAGCCTCAGCAATTGATCCTTCTGGTCGTGCCTTGTTTCTCACATATGACTTCAGTGTACGCAAATATCGCTCTATTGGATACATCCATCGAAATTGTACGGGCCCACCAAGTTTAGCCTCAGTCACAAGATGAATTGTTAAATGCACCATTATGTCAAAAAATGAGGGAGGAAATATCTTTTCTAACTTACAAAGTGTAAAATATAAAGGAATTGATTTTTCAAGTCTCTCCAAATCATCAATACGC